GGTGTATCAGAAGGCATTCACTCTGGATGTTTTCGTGTTAATTCTTTTGGCAAACAAGCTTATAACAGGGTCACTATAACACACTGTACCCATACTGTATAGTATAGTATAGTATTTGACATACCTTCCAAACAATATTTATTATCTTTGAAGGATTCATGAATGCTCAAGTTGGCTACTTGTACACTGAGGCAACTGATTAATGAATAAAGTAGGGTATATGCAAATGCATAATGCATTACTTTACACTACAGTACTGTATTACTTAAGTGATTATAAATACACTACAATAGTATTTAGTAAGTGATGGTAAATATACTATTTTACTAATATACTAAGTGTTGAAGACAGACATTTGTGGTAAGCCAATCAGCTGTTTGCTCTTTGTAAACAATGACTCATGTTCAGTGGGGGATTCTTTTTTCAGGAAAGCTGATTCTTTTAGGATAATATTTTATCAACCTTCCACCAAATGATCCTAAATTATTTGAGAAGTGTAGTGGAATTGCATAAAGAACTGTTAAAGGAATCTTGTGGGAGTTACGGGGAGGGAGCCAACCCACCCATGCTACCCCTCTTCCCCTCTGCCAGCTGCTCCCAGATAAACATTCGTCTTCCACAAACAGTATACCCCTACACTTATTTGTCCCTATTTTTATCTTTACAGTACAGTATTCAGTTTTCTCGCTAATTATTTACGATTAACCAGCGGCCGGAATTGATCAAAAACGATTACAGTATAAAAACACCGGATTTTCACTGTTGTAGTTTGTGCAAATGTGTTAAAAAATGGATACAGCTGACCCTTAACATACGCAGGGGTTACTTAACAGAGATGCCTGTGGATGTTAAAAATCCGCGTATTTTTGCCCCCCCTAAAAACACCCCCTGGTCCCCCCCCCATGTCCTTATTTACTGTATATACCTGTGTGTAGTTTGAGTTTTTAAGACCAAATTATTTGGCAAAAAATTGGGGGTCAACCTCTAAACGGGTAATAGTTTCGTTAGATTGAAAAATATTTACCAGTAACTACCAGTAAACAATGGAAACGATGCACCAACGCACCACCAGCTGTGAGTGTCGGTACAGTTGCCAGGGCAGATCTCTTGCGTCATCATAGCAAGCCTAAAGTAGCCAAATCCATGGTATGGTAGCACAGGACGATGTAAAACATAAAGTATTCATTTATTAAAGTTTATTTATAGATACAGTACTGTACATAAATTCTTGTTCAATACATTTGAAACATCAATCTTTGCTAATTAAATTTGAAACAAAAGAAAACTACGATACCGTATTTTCATTAAAATATTACTTCACAAGTATATTTTACCTTAACTGTGACTGAATGAATATACGTGTTCTCAGAAATAAATATAGAAATATAATATTTTTGCTGGAATGACGAACATATTACAGTGGAAAGTGGGATAAAATTGTGACGAAAGCGATGACTTTCTCTTTCTTTCGTTCAAAATATTTTACCGTAATCGCTTTTCGAATGGTTTTCAGTTAAAAAACTGTTGTACTCGTACTGTATTACAATAATATTCTATCCTATCATTAGCCTTATAATCCCACAACTGAAAACCATTCGAAAAGCGATTACGGTAACATCTTTTGAACGAAAGAAAGAGAAAGTCATCGCTTTCGTCACAATTTTATCCCACTTTCCACTGTAATACGTACATCATTTCAGCAAAAGTATTACATTTCCATGTTCTCAGAAATAAATGGTAGTTTTGTTGAAACGTAATGTACAGTATTTAATATTAAAATGCAAAAATAGCTATAAAAACAATTAATACACCCGTAATGTACTGGCTGGCATCTCCACTCGTCCCTGCTCCTGCGTCCAAGGTCACCACTCCTCCCAACTCCCTCCCTCCTCTGCCTCCTCCACCTCCTCACCGTCACTACTGCCGACAACAAACACAAATGTTTTGTGAATAACTGCACCTCCACTTCCTATGTACAGAATTGAACTGTACTGTGCTGTGCATTTTTACAAACAATAAACATGGCAAGAAAAGCTATTAAAATAAAAAGAGATAAAAATTTCACTTTACTGTACCGTACCTATCCTCGGCGACAGGATGGGGGTCATCGAGCTCATCGTCACTCAATTCCATAACGGGTGGTGAAGTGGGGGCGACGGTGGATTCAGCTGCTTCCTCACTGCCGCCGGTGATTGATGGTGTTAAATCTCTCCTTCGGTGATCAAAGAACATGGTGATGTTTTTGTATGGAGCAAGAACGTCATCCATCCCTCGCATGAATTTCAGGGCACGCACCATGGAGGGGTTCATACTATAGGCCAGGTTTTTCAGTGCCTCGATATTCCTGGTCATCTCCCCCAACTTCTCCAACATTATTTCTTGGTGCTCTTCCTCTTTCGCTTCCTCTTCCTTGCCTGAGTCTACTAACTCCTGTAGATCCTCCTCGGTCAACTCAGTGTCGTGCTCTTCAATTAGCTCCCTAATCTCGTCCTCTGCCATGTCCTGGAAGCCTTCAGCAGCCACTTTCCTTGACAGTGCCAGGGTCTTTCTGAATATTTTCATTAAAATCCATCAAAATCATTTTCCTTGTCATCGTCTTCAGCACCAAACAGCTCCTCCCAGTCTTCTTCTTGAACAGGGCTAGAGGGTACGTGTTTTTCGAATCGTTTTCAATTAAAAAAATGTTACAGCACATGTATATTTTAACTAAACTGCCTGAATGAATATATTCTCAGAAATAAATAGTAGTTTTGCTGAAACGTGATGTATTTCAATGTAAAATAGGATAAAATACATGACGAAAACAAAAGACTTTACCTAACCTTCTGATGTTCAAGAGATATTACTCGTTTTTTTAATAGTTTTCGGTTAAAATACTGTTATATTACAATGATATTCTATTCATACTGTACTTGATATACCTGTACTACATTCACGGAAATGTAATATTTTTGCTGAAATGACGTACGTATTACAGTGGACAGTGGGATAAAATCGTGACGAAAACTGACTTTCGCTTTCTTTCGTTCAAAAGATGTTACCGTAATCGCTTTTCGAATGGTTTTCAGTAAAAAAAAAAACTGTTGCATCACAAGTGAATTAGGATAGAATATTATTGTAATACAACAGTTTTTTAACTGAAAACCATTCGAAAAGCGATTACGGTAACATCTTTTGAACGAAAGAAAGCGAAAGTCATTGCTTTCGTCACTTTCCACTGTAATTCGTACATCATTTCAGCAAAATATTACATTTCCATATTCTCAGAAATAAATAGTAGTTTTGCCGAAACGTAATGCATTTCAATGTAAATTAGGATAAACTACATGAAAACAAAACACTTTACCTAGACTTCCGATGTTCAAGATATGTTACTCGTTTTTTTAGTAGTTTTCGGTTAAAATAGTCTTATATTAGTGATATTCTATTCATACTGTACTTGATATAATACTTTCACGGAAATGTAATATTTTTGCAACTACAATGTTGATGTCAACACAAGCGTGATTACAGTGAGACTGACTGAGTGAGGAAGAGCTATGCGTGTGTGTGTGTGAGGTTGCGGGAGCGAGCGGTGTCCCGTGTTCGGTGCCGCGTGCGAGTTGAATGGCGCGCGATTTGAATGTACTTCAATTACTTCAATGTACAGAATATTCCTCCGGCGGGGCAATCCGTGTATGCTAAACCCGCTTATGTTACGGGCCGACTAATTTTAAAATAAACGTTACTTAACATTTAGGGTATGAAGAACGGACCTAACCTCAGCTAACTTTCTCATCGAGGGGCTCCGCCCCCTGGTATATTAAACAGAAAGAACTTACTATGATATGGTGAAATTTGAGTCATTTTCTGGACGTCAGATCATACGGGTGCATCGGCACTTATGCAGCCCGGGCAGCGGAGTGATTTTTAGTGATGGTGGGAAACGTCGAGCCACGGCATTGAGTATGTGATGAACAAATTTCTTTCCGGTCTGAAAGCACAGGAATTTCCGCAGTGTGGACAGTATATATAAAGGAACAATGCTGTGGTTCCCTATAAGACTGGCGACAACTTTCACCATCCATGCTGAAAATGAAACTGCTGGGAGAAGCACAGCACCAGAGCGCGGCCTCATTACCGCCGGGAAGACAAATTAGTGCATGCCTAGGCGCCTAATTATATGTGAAACGAAAAATTTGCACAAGAAATGATTATCATATCAGAACTCGCTGATAAAAATAAAAGTAAGAAAATAAAGAATAATAAAAGTAATTGGTATGCGGGTTAGTCGTAAATATTGACCATTTTCTCTTTATTCATAAGACAAATTCTGTGGTTACAGTACTTTGACATAACACTTTACAGTAAATAACAATCATATCTGACAACCAGACTTATATGATTTTCAACCCAGAGTTCCGTTTCATTTTTTTTTTTTTTTACACTAGAAGAGACCCATTCATTACAAACAATAAAACAATTTCATGGCAGTGAAATGAGCCCTAATTTTTATTTATTTTTTCTCCCCCAATGATTTTTCGGCAAAAACCTCCGAGGCCGAGTGTAAGTCTTCATGCACGTACGTGTCTCAGGCTCCGAGGCTGAGAGGGTTAAGGACCTGAGTTGTTGAAGTGCAGTAATTACATAAAAACAAATGATTTTCTTTAAACAGTTCAGATAAGCCATGTTATCTCCAACCCCACCCCAATATATTTACTATTTTCGGACTGGGGTCTGCCCCAATTAGTCCTATTTATTGAGGTTCTACTGTACAAGAATTTTTTGTAGAAAATCTGGTAGCTATAGTCTCAGAGGGGAAGTGTTCTCCACCTCTTGATGCATAAACATTACTGAGGGTTATGACAATATCCTAGTGGTAAACTTAGATTAAGGAGTCATTTATAGCTGGTCTCTTTCTTCTCAAGTTCTGAAGATTCTCTCCATTACAAGATTAGTTTAAGAATAAAACTGTTTCTGTGTCTGTTGTCTGCATTATTTGACCGTAAATTACCTTTCAGTTGTCATGTCTGCTGCCATCATGTCATCTGAGGAGAAACTGGAAACTGCACCTTTTGATCCCCGCTTCCCAAATCAAAATCAGACTAAGTAAGGCAAAATTTGCTGAATGTCAAGACTAATATAGTTTTAAGTTCAGCAGTATAGTACCATATTCCTTAATTAACCTCATGTGTACGGGGTTGTCTCTAAGCTGAATAAAATTATCTGGCATTATCTAAATAAAGTAATAAAAGTGGCTTCCCTGTAGTGAAGTGGTTAACATCAGGTTGCATTGTTTAATTCTTATGATACTGATGTATTGTACTTGTATACAGTATATTCATTAGTGAGTACAGTAACAACATGGTACAGTATACGAACACCTTGGGACCTTAACACTCGGGATTGCCTTAAGTTTATTTAATGGGCTTATCACGCACTCTTTGGAAAGCCAACAGAATAACCAGAATCTCGAAGATTTTTTTTTTTTCCTGAGCTATATTCGTGGCTAAGATATTGTCAAATATTTCTTCAAATGATGCCTTCTAGGAAAAAAAGGCTGAGAAATCGGAAGAAACCTCCATCAGTCAATATAAGATGTACATAGCAAGAAAGAGGAAATCATGAGGAAGATGGTGTAATCAGAAAAAATAATAGGGGTAATGTAAAAAGTAAGTTACAGAATAAAAAGTAAAAATAAGTGGTGGTTCAGCGCGCAGTTGCCGAAATGTTCTACACATTTTTTTCCTTGCTAGGGTGGTGGTGTTTTTTTTTTTTTTTTTTTACTCTCTCGCCAATCATTCACACATATTTTCTTATGGCCAATTGTTACTGTACACATACTAAGGAAGATGAATAGACCAGTTAGTAGTTTGTGACAAAAATTTAAATTTTGGCAATAATATTTCCACTTACCACTCGGATGAGGTAGGCCTTGGCATATGCATGACAATGACAATAGCATTACGAATTCATATCAATTAAGCTCAATATATTCATTATAATTCACCATACACATGCCTCTACTGCACTACAATTCACAATCACTTATTATTTTTCCGAGCTAGGCCTATTTATTACAACATGCTTCTGTGTGGTATGTGCGACTATTGTGAGTAGCCATGTTACCACCTTTTCATAAATTAAAAAATATTACACTATTTCATTAAAAATATTTCAATACACATCACTTTATCACCTCATAAGAATAAATATTGTGGTTGTAACTGATAAATATTTGGAGTTAACATCCACTTGGCCATTTGGCAATTGCACCGTCTCACAAATTCAGAAATGTTTCAATATCTCATTATAGATAAAAATATTTAGAGAGAGTGGCACAAATGCCACAGTAACCATTTTTAAATCATGCTTGGGCTTACACACCTCTCACTTACTGAGCCAAACGCAAAACTTGCGTGTTGTCTGGAAGCCGCGGTGTCCACCGCATGTAGACAGGTTGCTACCTAGCCTTAAAACCTGATTCCATGCAGGAGAGTGGCGTTAAAATTGGAAATAATTCGACCATGAACTTTAAGAGAAAATGAACTACGGTAAGATCTTGTATTTCGCGAGTAATATAGACTGGAAAAATTTTTCCAAATACAAATGCATAAACTAATGGGAAAAATAATAATATAGACTGGCCACTCTACATCAACCTCTGATTTTCCCATTTATAACCTCCAAATTATACAAATTCTGCTTTTATTGACTTGATTGTTTTTTCCGGAAACTAGTTTTTAGGCCTTGCTCAAGTAACTTAATCACACGCTGCTTATCCTGCATCTAGTACTTGGCAAACTTAACTCCCATATGATAGTCCCGCTTCTCCTTTTCCTTATTTGGCAGCTTAGGTGAGTCTGTCCCACCCCCACCAGCACGGCCCCCAGCAGAGGTAGAGGCCATTATCTTGACTCGATAGGTGGTAGCACCACCCAATAACAGACCAGGCGGTTGCTAGGATGGCGTGGGCTACAACGCGTTAGTTGCGTTCTTGTAAACCTCTTTTACGTTCGCCACCGGCAATTCGATCACCAGAACGCTTCTTGGAAGAATTCTTCTTACCTTGTCTTTCCTTTTTCATTACTAACAACAAAATTGGAGAAAATTGCAAAAATCACGGAGTAATTGACAGAAACCGCGCGATTCAACTGATCACATGATGTACACAGAGAGCCCTGGTGTAAACCGTTATTAGTCCTCACTAATAAACATTCTTTTTACTTATTCTATTCATACAGTATTTATGGGTAACAACAAAATTTACAGAGTACCTCTCAAAAAACACTTCACAAACAAGAGACACAAATCAATTGAACTTGTGATGTTGAACGTGAACTGTAAATATTGCATAACCCCGCGCCACGCTTAAAACGTTGAGGATGGGATCACGCTATAGCCAACATTTGTATGCAAAAATTTGCGTTTTACAAACATAGTTCCCCTATTTATTAATCACGTTACGCCAAATATAAGACTTGGTTACATTAGGTAGTGCTCGCGAAATATGAGATCTTACTGTATACGCCGTGGTGGCGTGTCTGATCGTGAGGCAAAAGTTTCATTTACATTAAATCAAAATGTCACATGAGTGAATGATCCCAAGAGTGTTAAGATGTCCACATAATAAAAAACTAAGTTCTGTACAGGACGGTAGATTTTTTGTGCATGTGTGTCTAAAGCTACATGTTTTTCCTTGAAGGTATTGCTACCAAAGCTTTGTCGACTACAACCGATGCCAAAAGATAAAAGGTGAAGATTATGAGCCTTGTGAGTACTTCAAGAAAGTTTTCCAGTCAGTATGCCCCAATGCCTGGTTAGAGAAGTGGAATGACCAGTTGGAGGCTGGAACCTTCCCTGGAAAAATCTGAAAATCTTCATAATTGACCTTCGTACATGTGTTAGTTCTGAAAAGAATGGTGTCTTGATTCCCTCCTGCTTTTCTTTTAACTGATATTTGGGTAATGCATTGTGTATGTTTCAAGGCATTCCAACACTCATATTACACTGAATTACAGCATTTCAGGCACTGAAAATATGCTTTCCCTTGTCAGAATTACAATATCATTTGATTAATATTCAAAATTAGGGAGGTGTGTTGTAGATATATGTACATTAATTTTTTATAATGTAGATAATGGAAAAACTGCAGTGACGAGTGTAATTTAACTTATTCCTGTGTGCTGTTCAAATAAAAATATGACCAGGTACATTATTGTATTTTGATCCCCAACTAGACCTGAATAGTCTTCTAAAAATAGTTATCCAGGTATTGTATCTCGTGGAAGTTAAATTATATTCATCTTGTCCAATATCTTTGGCCTTCCTTATTGTCCCTAACTGTGTAGTGGAAGGAGACTTGGAATGTTGCTTTCACATAAATTTGACTTACCGTATATCTCGGCCTACAAGACGGAATTTGAACAAAAAAAAATCAGCCCACAGTTAGGGGGTCGTCTTGAGCACCAGAGATAAAATTCTTACCTCTTAAATATTGCGGTTTAGCGTGTCAAGAGTGGTGATGGAAACATGGTAAACCACTCCCAAGGTCCTACCACTAATTATTTTATACTGAAACTTACGTTTGGGAAGCTGGATTAAAATGAAGATTACCGGTATATTAAAATAATAAAAATGTATTATAAACCAGTCTAACATAACGTAAAAGAACAATATACCCCGGTAATAAACACAGCTGCTATCATCATCCCCATTTGCCAGTGACAAGAAAGGGAAAGTGACCTTGACTGTGACCGCCTGTGGCAATTTTTAGCTGTCCTTGTGTTCGGAGGTGGTCAGTAATGCATATCTGTATATTTACTGATCATAATACTTATCTCCTATAAATAATTAATTTAAAATTTATTTTTTTACAAAGAATATTCAGTAAATGACGGAGTTAATTCTTGAAACTACCGACAGTGGTAAATTTAGGATGAGAATGATGAACAGAAGTCACGTCATGGATTCCAGTTTGGTCCTTAATGATCACCATAAATTTCTGGTCAACTTCACCTACCAGGTTTAATGGTAGCCTCCCTTTTTCGCGAAACAAGTATATAAATTAAAGAAAATACTTGCAGTGTGTTTAATGTATTACAGTATATTATAAATAAATAAATAAACCAATAAATTGGCAAATCTATTTCAAGTAGATGGAAATATTATACTCACACCAACATTAGTTCCAGTTAAATGACTGACGTTTAAGTGAGTCACTAGTGTACACCAGCCCGTAAAATTTGATGCCAATACTTGAAGTGAATTGGCATTATTTTAAATAACCAACCATAAATAAATGGAAAAAGATCAGAGGTGAGAAACATCATATTGTATGTATGTTGTGTTGTCAAAGGAAGAGAAACAATTGAAACTCTGCAATTGTGTGTAAATGAGGCAGAAAGATAAATCAGCAACCTAAGACTTGGTCACAATTTTCGTGATGCCATATGGTAGTAGGGTCTACCATTAGACAATACTGTACATTATGCTTTCAATATCTTCCCAGGCAGTAGAATCTCCCTGTTTGGAAGCTGCCTAAAACTTTTAGTAATATTACTTTGATACAACATGATAGACAAACAATGAAATTAAACAAACAAAAGTTTTTAACCAAGACCTCTCTGAGAACAGAGGGAGGGAGGGAGGTGGAGATAAGACGGCTATTTATAGCCTGTCTTTGTGTAGGAAGTCGACCACACTAGAAATAATTCATTTAAAATTTATATTTTTTACATAGAATATTCAGTACATGACTGTGATTATAAAATATTGTGAATATATATATATACAGTATATATATATTTAGTTAGTAAGTATGTACAGTAATCTTTTTCACTCAAATCCTAATGAAACACTATTGAATTAGAATACTGTAGCTGGTTGAAGCAAGCTTATAAATTAAAGAAAATACTTGCAGTGTGTTTAATATATTACAGTATGTTATAAATAAATAAATAAACAAATAAATCGGTAAATCCATTTCAAGTAAATGAAACAATTGTATTCTTCACCGACATTAGTTCAAGTTAAATAACAGACTTTTAAGTGAGTCACTAGTGTTTACACTACACCAACCTCTAATAATGGATGCCATTACTTGAAGTGAATTGGCCTTATTTTAAAAAACCAAGGATGTGTAAACAGCACTGGTCAATGGGATGGTTGGTAAAGGACTACTGGGTCAGTAAGCTCCCAATGGTAAGTGTCACATATGGGGTACTGGTCTTGTACAGCGAATAGGGCTCAAAAGCTACTTTTTAAATGGAAATTTTGGGGGCCGTCTTATACACCCCGTCGCCTTGTAGGCCGAGATATGCGGTAAGCTGTGGTGAATATTATCTGAAATACAAATTCACCAAGTCTCAATATTAGGCACTGCTGCCACATGTGGGCCTGTCTGTCGAGTTCTCATATTCAGTATTTTTTCTCCATTATTTTAATGGTTTGTGAACATGAATGTATTAGCAAAAAATCTTGAATGAATGTGATAAATGGTGCAGTATCCTACCCCCTCCCTTTATTTTCTTATGGGTAATTATATCCCATTGTGTCGTCTCACTGAACAATGCATTTTTTGGTTCAACCTTAAAAGTACAGTAACTTATCTGCATATTTGTAGTGCTGTTTATGAATGTACTGTCAAGTCCATTTGCTTCTATCAGGTTGAGACTTTTCTCCTGGGGCTTTGAGGCTCATCACAAGTGTTCTTATTGGGCATGTCATGGGGCAGACTTTATGAAATGAATAAAGAACTCTTAAAAAAAACTCGAAAACTAAGATTAAGTAAGAAAGTTGACCATAAATTCCACTCATGAACAATAAAGTTGTGGTCCTGAGAAAATTATAAATAATAAATTTAATGATGTCACTGGGCTCAGAAATCACTTATGAGGGGTAGTTAAACAGTAATTTTCTTATAACTACTTAAAATTAATATTTCCACAAAAAATGCCAACAAGAAAGGTTATAACATTATTAAGAAATCACTACAAAATAGCAAATGAATAAAAACATTGTGGTGGCCTTCAAAGGGAGTAATGCAAGTAACACTTAAGAAGATCACTGGCCACAAAAGTATCTTGTCCAAGTATAAATTAACACTGGCAAAGTACACAGGTAGGACAAAATTGTTAAACTGTCCAATCTAAGGCTGGCACGTCCATAGACCTAAGAGAAATGCTTGTGGGTGATTTAACCTAAGTTAGCTGAGCCATGAAGAGACTGAAGATGCGCTGGAGAGGGACCGCCACAGGTTGACTCGTTGAGTGAGCTGGAATTATGGAGTAAGGTGAAGAAGTTTGTTGCGAATGATGTGACGGCTCATTAAATAACCTCGGTTAAGACGTCACGTTTCTATTCTAAAAATGTGATTGGTTTCTTCAATGGTATCAGTTGGTGTTCTGGAAAATTTCGAAGCGAAGAAGACAGTGGGAGGAGTTGAGTGGCGCCTCTGTTGCACCAGAACTTCTAGAAATTTCTACATGGGTAGCCAGCGAGTGAGGGATACTTCCCCCCACCTGAAAATCTCAAAGGTTCCATGCAGAATAAGTGGAGCCACAGAGGTGACCATCCTAGTCATTGTTCCTTGTAACAAGGTTTCTGTCAGTAAATTTGTCTAGCTCATGGATGTGGGGAACTTGTAGATTATATTCCTTTAGTCCAGGAGCCTACCTCATTAATCAGTGATTAGAATTTTTCTTTTTGTGATTAGTTTTTTTACTTTGAAGGGATGAGGAGGGTCACAGAAAATAAAAATAAAAATTTAAAGGTAAGGGCCAGACTCTTTCTTGGTGGTTGAGTAACGTAAATGGTGGGGCAACAGCTTCAAGGAGAAATAACAATGAATGAAGCAGTTGCATTTCTGGATCAGCTTGTAGGAGGACAGCTCCTGTTCCAGTGTTGCAGGCATTCACATGTAGAATGAAGGGTTGATTGAAGTTTGCATTCCATGACACTGGAGCAGATGCAAGGAGAGACTTTATTCTGTTAAATGCTTCTTGACTGATAGGAGACCATTTGAATGGTTCTTTTGGAGAGATGAGATCAGTAAGGGGTTTGACTTCTGAAATAAAGTTCTTACAAAAGTTTCTGTAGAAACTAGCAATACCCAAGAACCTTCTGAGCTACTTCAATCTTATGAAAGTGGAGAATTTCAGAATAGCTGTGCAGGGAACTGTCTTCCATTACCCAACAATGTGTCCCAGGTAAGTAACGGTATCTTGGGCCACTGACTTGGACTCAAGATAAATCCAGCCAAGTCGAAAGCGATGGCCATCTGCACAGACGCACCAGACAAGATGCTCTCCATACAAAACATGCCGGTAGTCTGGACCAACACCCACCAGTGTCTTGGAATCTGGTTCACCAGAAACTCACTTTCAAGACGCAACTTGAGTATCTCAGGCACAGGACGTAGAGCAGACACAACATAATGAAGTTGCTCACCAGCACAACCGCAGGAGCGAACACAACGTGCTCAAAGCCTACTACACGGCCGCCATCAGATCGCTGGTAGATTACAGTGCTCCAGCACTCATTGGACTGAGAGAAGACCAGATAGCTAAGCTAGAAGTTATCCAAAATAATGCTCTCAGGACCATGCTCGGAGCACCCATGTGGACCAGAATTTGCAATTTGCAAATGGAAATTGAACTACCACCCCTGGCAGTACGAGTCAAGCAGGTGACAGCCGGTCTCCACGCCAAAATCTGTAGATCAGATAAGCCCACAGCTGCCAAAACGTGAATCAGTGCCTCCCTCCACCTCGACCGCAGAGTGCGAGGGGCCGCCTGGTCGCACGAGGCAAGCGAAGTCATCGGGCACCTGCAAGCAGAAACACTCGTCAAGACATACGAGACAATGGTAACGTAGTTCCACCACCATGGAGCTGTCCACCAGCCACATTCAAAATCACCGAACTAGGTGATAGCAAAGCCAACCTCCAGGAGGAGGACCTCAAAAGAATAACTCTCGAAGCCATAGCCACCGAGACACCGGCTGATGCAGCATCATTCTTCACAGACGGCTCGGTGGACCCAAAACATCATAGATCCGGAGCGGCCTTCTACACCCAAGGTCAGACCCTCCGATGGAGACTTTCCAATGACTGCTCCACCCTACAAACAGAGTTGGTAGCAATCTCAAAGGCCCTACAACAAGCTGCAACACAACACTACAAGTCCATCATATTTCACACGGACTCGAAAAT